AAAAAGAAGAGTAATTGCAATTATGAGATCATGCACGCTAGATACAAGAATGTGGACATCGGTCCAAACAGCGATCTGATCCAAATGCCCATAGTCAGAGAAGGCCCAATGAGAAGATCCAAGGCCAACAACTAATGAAGAGGATCAATCTTGCGGTGCAAGTCTTCATCGAATCCTTAGAACCAGAGAGACTGCCATCGATTCCTTCTCAAATCACACTAGCAGATTCAGAGTTAGTCATCTCTATGTCACGTAAAGCCAAGGAAGATCAAATCGAGACATAACAAGAGATGGAGGCTGAAATGGAGGAAGAACTAGAAGATGAAGACTCAGAAGACCTTGAAGATCTAAATAGGGACGTCTACAACAAGCTTCAAGTCAAGAACGCTCCAGAATCAGAAGAGTCTAAAAAAACTTCACATGCAACGTATCATCCACCTCTAAACCAATGTTAGTTGTTTAATTTATATACCATTTTGCAGGAGAGTCAAGCTTCAACAACGGCTAAGTACAACCCCAAAACGACACCATCTTCTTTAGTTCTAGAGTCGCGGCCATAGTTTTCTTTTCTTGCTTTAATAAAATGATGCACTTTTGTTTAAGGTAGATGTTAGATGTGTTGCTTTTTTCTTTGAAAGTCTTGTTGTTTCAAGTCTTTTCTTGTTGTTTTCTTTGAGTCGAACCCTTGAAGGTTCAAGCTGATGGACTATATATAAAGTCCCACACGCAACTTTGTAGTCACCCTATTTTTGAGATATCAATAAAGAGCCGCATTTCTTCTAGAGTATTCTTGAGCGAATTCTCATCTTGTTTGATCTTGTGTGTGTGATTCACATAAGGGAGAGCTTCAGTATCGTATCAGAGAGTAATCACCACCCTGTGTTGTGCTATCATTCCATCATCACGTCATCTAATCAGTCTCACACGAAAGAGCGGCCGCCATTGTGTCTGATTTTCCATCTTCGACCATCTATTAATCATAAGAAAGAGCAAACGCCAACTTGTGATTTCATCCACAATTCCTAGATCATAAGCCTCACCACCGAGTATTATATCAGAATAGTTACAAAGATCAAATGACTTCTCGTTTGATTTCATCAGTTTATAAAGCAAAGTATGGGAAGCCTAAAATAATGGGAAAATTTTCGCTTAATACGGTCAAATCATTGAATTTATTTTACAAGATATATAATGGTTAGCTTTTAGTGGATGTTATATTTTGGATAGGAAAAAAAAACTAAATATAACCAGACTTTTTTCATAGGTGCAGTTTTCTTATGTACATCTTTTTGTGGATGTGTTAACTTTAAACTACTAACCAAACAGAATCTAGTCCGTATTTTATTTAAAGCCTATAAGTACAAACATTGTCTCTTTGACGTTACTATGCTTAATTTATTTTATTAATCGTCGTCTGAATCCATATCTAGAAGCTTCGCTTGAATTAAAAAGATGAGTGACTTATCAGCAGCCGCTTCATCGGACACAACAAGATCTCGCCCTCGGATTGCGGGAATACCGACAAAGTGTTGGTGTGGCGATTTCTACCAAATTCTCAAAAACAGAGTTGAACCCAAATCGTAGATACTACCGTTAAGAGTGTACATCTACAAAAAAGTATCTTCAATTTAACTATCGTACACCTAATGTATCTATGGAAAATGTTTCTTTAACATTTAAATATACAGATTTTGGGATCAAATTCATTTATACTTCTTCATCAC